TACACTAAGAAGGGATTTTTCGAAATTCCCCCCGTGGGGGAAGTGTTAACAATGAAAGTGGTTAAGTAACAATTCAAGTGTTAAGAGAAAGCGACGTCAAGATTTACAGGCGCAGATGCGGTTTTTTGCGTTTTTGTGAGAAATTGAACATATTTTTAGACCCATCTAATTTTCTAATTAGTCTGGAAACAGGGCAACCTAATTCTTGCATTCTGAGAAAACGGGTAAGATTGGTAATAATCTTAATCTTCGCTATTGTTACTTTTTGCCTGAACAATGCCTGGCTTATCTGCTAGTAATTATATAAAATAATGACACAGTGAAACTAAGTTTAGTGGACACCTGTACTTATAAAGGAAAACATCCAGTTCCAGAACAGTATTAAGACTATTGACATTTTTACCTTGATTAAAAATATGCTGCTTTCCTTGAACTGGAAAAAATTTTCTACCTTCTGTCTATTCTCCAAAATCTGTTGAGCAAACAATATGACAGATTAATGCTTCCCCATAATTATTATTTTAAAAAATACCGTGCTTATCTTCATTGACATCATTCAATAGAATTTATTTGTCCTTAGACTCGCCTAGCAATATTTTCAGGTTTTCCATTTTTTAATACCATATTATAGTATTCTGGCATCCTGTGGATCAAACATTGGTAAAATAGCAGCAGCAACATTTCTCCCTTGTGTAGTAAGACATTAAGAAACTCTCATTCTACTTCTGCTTAAAAATCTGAATCAGAGTTGTGTGTTTGAAAGATTTGCAAACAACCTTGTCTGGAAAGCCTAAAAGGTAGAATAATCAGTAATGATGACCCGTACAATCTGTAATAGTTATGGTTTTGGTCCTATTCCAAGCCAGATTGATTTTTTCAAATTTCCCTAAATTACTTGTTGTTAACATAGAATAAAATATGTAAATAAATAAATAAATAAATATAGTAAAATTGAAATTTAAGAAGTGAAAATTTTAAGTATTAAGATGTATGCAAACAAATATAGGCTGCAATGTTGTGACTATCTAAAATGTGGTGCACCCGACAGATACATTGCTAGTCATGCTTATGAAAAAAATTGCCTGAACTGATGATTGTGTGGAGGTTTCTCAGGTCTCAGCATATTTTTTTCTTAAGAAGTATTTGTGCAGTGAATGTCAACTGCATGTCATTTGGGTTGAAAGTTAGTAAAGTAGAAATTTTTCCAGAATTTTTAAATATAAAAAAAAAATTGATTGATAGGTGCTATGAAGTCTGAGATCTATTGCTGCTACCAGATAATTAAAATAATTCCTTAATAAATTCTTCCTTTGCATTTTCATTTACTTTAAACTTATGATATTGCTAGAAATTTATTAATAAACAAAACTGTTAGTTATAGAAATTCAGTTTTATATAATTAAACTGATTGTATCACGATCATGTTAAATTTTGGTCTTACACATTTCTACTTGCATTATAATAAATTTAGTCTTAAACTGAATTATTCTTAGTTAAGTTCAAGTTTTTTTTCACAATAGAAGTATTTTAAATTAAAATTAAAAATACTTTCATTAAAAACTGCTCAATAATGGAGTTAGACCTAAAAAAGTAAACAATTTTTCCTTGTTTGGTTTTGATGTAGATCATTGTATTTAATGTCCATTTAGAAAATTGTCTCATCAGCTAATAAGTATTTTTATTTTGTTTGATTACTTATAACAACAACACTAACAAAGAGAATTTATTTTATGTATACCATTTGGTAATGACTGATAAAATTCTGAAAATGTGACTGAAAAATTGAAGTGTTATGAAATATCTGAAAATCAGATTTAATATGTGGTAAACATCAAATTTAGGTAAAACATTGCTTCTGAATCTAACTCCATGGATATCATAATATATATGTATAAAATTTGTTTAGTATGTGTCATTCCTTAACATAAAACAAAACCTTTAACTACCAGCAACAAATATTAGTGAAAACAAACATTTTTGCCTTCACCATGGCCTGCATCAGGATTTTTAACGAATTCCAAATTGGACCGTTGGAATGATAATATTCAAAAAAACAATTTTAAATTTCGAATTACACAACGTAAATTGAATTCAAACTGTAGTATGACTAAAACTCAAATGTATGACCCTGTCACACATACCTTTTTAAGTTTAAGATGTACAGAGTGAATTAATATAGACTAACTTTGCCTGAATTTTTCATAAAGGTACATCCATATATATGATATTGTATTGCAGTCTTTAAAATTAATACACTTGCCGGTCAGGCTGGCTTTATGTATTTCTAAAGCCTCCAGGCTATGAATATGGTCTGTTTGATAGGCCTGTATAATTAACTTGGTGTTCTGAAGGTCCGCATGCACTTTTGGGTCAGTGGAGTACATGGACAAGGCGGTAGTACGCCTGTTGTTTTTAATGTCATATTCGTGCTCACGTACACTTTTTTGTATTGATTGTTTATTTGAGCCAATATACACTATTTGGAATCTATCATCCCTTACTGGTATACTGTACACTCCTGGGACCCTGCTTTGATCTATTTTATCTTTCGTGTTGCATAGCAACTTATATATTGTACTAGATCTCCTGTATGCAATTTCAGTACCACTATGGCCAGAAATATCTTTGTATAAGGAGTTCAAATGCCAATTGAACTGCTTCCTTCTTTAAGTTAACAGTGATAACACAACTAGAAATTTTCGTCAATAAAAGTTCTGTTTCAAAATATCCCTAGGTATAATGAAGAAATATTTTTACCTTTGTAAAGTTTAGTTTCCATGTGATGCTGTTAACTCTCTGGAACTAAACTTTATTTTGGGGATCATTAGAGAGGCAATCTGACCACTATGTAGGTTAATAACCAAAGAATAATAACAGCTACTATGTTTTATTGTATTTTCTTATATATGTGAAAAAATATTAAACAATTTTTAATAAATAAGAGTGAAAAACTAAACATAAAAATGGTTGGTTAGATTAATAACTAATATACCAACAATTCTTAAATAATGGTTAATATTCAACAAGAAATATGTGTGTGTGTGTGTATATATATATATATAATTTTTGTGTATATATACATTGATCTGTTGAGTCTTAAAGGATAATTTTTGTGTGTGTGTATATATATATATATATACACACAAAAATTATCCTTTAAGACACAACAGATCAATCTGCCTAGTGTCACTAGAATTTACTTCCTCCTCCATTTCCATTCATTTATATTAATCTAACAGTGGAATTACAGTCATCACCTATCTCATTTACATGTTTCATCATTGTGATTAACCTAAAGTTTTTTGTTTCTCCTGCTGGAGTTAATTCTAGATGTAACAAATTGTAAAATAAGCTTTAAGCAATGATTATAGTGATTAAACAGCAACTTGGCATATTTTTGAATTATTCCAGACATTCTATTATCATATGGCATGTCACAAGAAGAGATGAAAGTCATTTTGGAAGGCAATTCTCCAATCTCTGCTATTCATGAAAAGAAGTAAAGACCAAGGATGAGGTGAACAGATGAAGTTGAAATGGATATAAAGGAAAAGGATTGTGGAAACATTGATTGGAATGATAATATTCAAAAAAAACAATTTTAAATTTCGAATTACACAATGTAAATCAAATTCAAACTGTAGTATGACTAAAACTCATAAATGTATGACCCTGTCACACATACCTTTTTAAGATGTACAGAGTGAATTAATATAGGCTAACTTTGCCTGAATATTTCATAAACGTACGTCCATGCATGCGATATTGTATTGCAGTATTGTACTACCAGTGCATATTGAATACAGTGGAGAGAACTCATTAAACACAGCAACCCTATCCAATGTAAAGTGAGGCAAGGATGATTCATAAAAATCCATTATAGCTAATTTTCCTAAATCTAAAAGTATTTCTCATTTTGTCTGTGTAATTTTTATAACTTCATAATCAAATTTTCTAGTTATATTTCAGATATATCTTAGATCTAAATAAAAAAATAATTTATGAAATTTATAATAAATAATACAATATATTAGAAGACTACTTAAATTTTTATGATATAATCTTCATAAACCACATTTCAAAATAACTGAATTCTGTTCATATATTGATATGAGATAAACAATAAATTACTTTACATTTAGAATAATACTGAAAAATAAGTATAATTACTGTTATTAAATACTATTAACATAGCTATGAAAGTAACAAAATGAATGAATGAAAGCTATAAAGAAAAAACTGAATGCTAATAATTCAGAGCAAGATTTCATAAAATTGTGAAAAAGTTCATTTTGTTACTCTTGAACAATTTAAAAAGTTTGATAACTTACTCATAGATAACAGCACAGAGGTACATGAACATGTTTGTAGATATTATTAACTGGTTTTATACAATGAGATGATGTAGTTTGTCTGTATTTGATTATTCTATTACATCTAGCTTAGTTCATATTTGTCAATTTTAAATAACTTTTATACTATAAGTATCAAATTGGTTAATATATCTAATGACTACAAAAAGCCATTAGATATAATAATCAATTTAATATTTATTAATTTTAAATACAATATTAATTTTGCAATTAATTTATAATTCAAAATAACAGTCATGTTTATTCTATAAGGTGTAAATAATTTATTTGCTATTGATATATCATTTTACAACAGAAAGAGAAGTATTAAAAAAAAGTAATGACAAAATACAAAATAAAAAAAAAGAAGAAGAAATGCATATTTTTGTGCAATACATCAAATACATATATACATAAAAAGAAACATTTTCATACAATCAAAAGTAACAAAAACATTGACATTTAAATAAAAATTATATACCAATAATAATAATAATAATAATAATAATAATAATAATAATAAATCAGATCATTCTTTTGAAAGAAAGAAACAATATATATATAGTACATTCCAACATATAAAATATTAAACAAAAAAATAATAAAATAATAATAATGAAAATAAAAAGATAAGATACATCAATATAATTTTTAGAAAGCATAGTTTTCATTTGAAATACTGTCATAATTCATTTTTACAAATTTATGTGATGGTATAAGCTGTTAAGTACAATATATATTTGCGCTCCATAAAATTTAGAATACTTGCAATATTCAAAATATAAATATATACTGAAATAAGAAAAGTTACAAATAAAGCCTGCTTTAGGTATCACACTATTGTGACATTAATATCACAGTTTATCCATCACAAACAAGGATAAATTAAATATTTTTTAAGAGTTGACATATGTTGGTGGTTCTTTGGTTCATTTGAAAACTATATCAAGTACATAAAGAAGCAACAACAAATTTCAACAAAAGTGCTTCTAAAACAAAATATTAGAGAATTAATGTCATTGAATAGATCTTATTATGAATGAAATCCAAATGCATGAAACAACTTAGATTTAAGACCTGTCCCTTGTGCTTGATTTCCTGCTTGTTCAGTATCTGTCTGATGACCACTGTTTTCAGTTCTCTGTGTAATTGCTATGGCAGATGTAGGCTGCATGAAAACAAATATTGAAGAACAATACTTGTATAAATTTTTAATTGCAGATCTTCAGATATTTATGAATATATGGATTAAGATATAATTTTATGAAAATTAAAATTTATTTAACATGCAATTTTTTTACCATGTTTCATAACTTACCAAACTTTATATTTTATGTTATTACAAGAAGAAATTTTTATGAAATTGTAAGTTTAATAGAATTTTTTAAACAGAATTTCTCAAACTTATGTATAATAGACATTATCATAGAATTTGTGGTTTTATTGTAAATATTTCAAAATAAAAGTTGAATTTTGAAAAACAGTAAAAATTTATAGTAATACATTGAAGAAATAAGATCTAATAAAACTTTCAAATTTATATACCATTTTAACAAAAAGTAATTAACATAATAGAATTTTTCTATTTAATATATGAAGAAATTAAGTATATATTTTATTCTAAAAAAAAAAAAGCCTAAAATTTCCTGTGATTATATTTTGTTGAGTTTTCAGTGGAAGTTCAAGCCGGATAATTATGGAGTATGGAATCTTATTTACAGTTTTATTTATTTATCTATTTTAACTTAGATAAGATCAGCAGCACACTACCATATTTATAGTATTCTTCTACAAATAACCAATTTGTGTTAAAATCTAGAAGTCATGCACAGATTTTGTATTTCAGTCTACGTGAGATTAAAACTATCTATGTAGTAAACAAAAAATAATACTTCAAATTCTACTGCAAGATTTGAAAAATTTACTTGACAGGCATGCAAAATGCAGTCATTTATTAGAATAAATTATGGGAAATGAACTATGCTTTTCTGAGTTTGTTTGCCTGATTTGTATAGTTTTTTAAGGCAGATGACACCCAAGTTAAATAATTTGAATACTTGAATGTATCTACCTTAACAAAACACTGGAAAAAAAAAACCACATAAATTCTGATAAAACTAATTGTCTATCAAATAGAAAATTGATTTAGATAATATCTATGGAAAAACATGTTCTGAGTAAAAAAAACTCAGAACATGCTTAGTCTTAAAAAAATAAAATATACATATTACAACTTTACTCAACTGAGGAAACTAAATCAACATTACTACTACATATCTGATGTAATAGTAATATCCAAGGCAAGATTCAATAATAAAATTACTAGTACTGTTGAAAAAGAAATAATGTAGATTACAAGATTGAGACTAATAATATTGAAAAAGTATACAGTAATGCAGTATGTACCAATAGTCACACCTGCTACGGGACATTTGTAATCATTGTGTGGTTTAAAAAAATCAAGTTACCAATATTGAACTACACCAGAATTGAACAGTGACCTCTATTTTTGACAGCCCAAAGCATTACATTTACAGGTTAGTGAGATCCATTGCAGGATGTATGGACAATGTGGAGAGTCACATGTCTGCAAAAATCTCGTAAGTGGGTTCAAAACTTCAAGAAAGACTGAACAATGTTGAGCCACACAGACTTTTGAACCTGTGCTTTTTGTAGCAACATGCAAGATTTTTCATATTGTGCATACATCCTGCAATGAATCTCATTAGGTCTAATGCTCTCAGTTGTCAAAATTCAAATAACAGCTTGCTGTTTGAGTCTGGTACAGTTTGAGATGGATAACAATGTTATTTTGTAAACTATGTAGTGAATACAAACGTTGTGTGGCAGGGATTACTTATTGGTATATACTGCATTATTACTCTTTCATTATTATTAACCTCAACCTTGTACAGTACATTATTTTTCTTTAACAGTGCTACTAACTATTGATTCAGCCTCATATGTTTGAGTAATTTCAATGTTTTTGATATTTCTGTTACTCAAAAACATTTTCAATTTAAAATATTTTGCATTACAAAATAATTTATTAATAAAATATCTTAATACTAAAAACAGAATTCATAAATTTTACATAATGATAAAAGATAAGGAATGGAGGAATTTATATGTTTCTGCTATTTTTTTTTTTGCACATTGCCATGTTCATTTTTGTTTTTTTGCTTTTATTTAAATGTCTTTTATGGGAGGCATTATCTATTCAGACATTACCTGTTAATACTGAATAAATATCTTTTGGAACCGATATTCCAAAATTTCAAAATTCATAAATAAAGAAAGGTATTGGCTGAATCAGTTTATTTTGGATAACACGTAATTTTTCTTATTTAAAAAAATAATGAAGACAGTCTACAATATATATTTTCTGTAACTTACAATTTGCAAGTTAAGATACTAAAGTAAGTAAAAAAAATAAAAATAAGATTAGCACTGAATGATGAAGGAATTTGTTTACCCAGATAATTGATTTGACTTCTAGTACTTGAGATGATTCAATTATGGGTATCTAAATAATTTGAATACTCAAAATATCTAAAATGTTAGCTTTTTGATAGTTTAAAGAATGCATATTTTATGGAAATTAACTTTTTAAAGTTATTTGTCTTATCAGTGTTAAGTATATGATAGTACAGTGAACTCAAAGAACTGAGATAAACTATTCACAATAGAGAGTTCATTAAATACAAAGAACAGCAGAATCAACAAAATTTTTCATTATATCAAGAACTCACAAGTCTCTTATATATAAAATTATACAAAAGAAAAAAAATTATCTTAATAACCAAACTATAGATCTGCCTTTTTTGTTTTAAAATTCTTTAAAAAATTAGCATTTTCAATTGTTTCTTAATTAATGTTTTTATTCCATAAAATGATGCACCATTGCTTTTTGTTAAATTCAATAACTTTTTGTATTGCTTTTTATATGTATAAATATAGTTTCAAATTGTATATGTATATACTTTGTTTGTCTAATATCATAACCAATAAACTTAGTAGCAACATAATTCTTACCTATATTGACAGACTTAAATTCATTCTATAGCAAATAGTACAAAATTTCTAAAAAAATTTTAACAAAAGAAATTCAAAATTCTTTTTACAAAATTATAACTTTATAGTTTGCATTTAAAATAATTTTTTCCATTTGAAACTATTATTATTTAAAATCAAATTTGTAATTTGTAAAATTATATTTCTGGAAAAAATTTCTTCAAAAACTACCTTAGTCACTGATCATTCACATAATTTAAGTGCAAATGTTAATGACCTAATCTAAATTGAAAATAAAACACAATCATACTTGAAAATAATCCAAAAACATTTAAACTTTTTATTTTAGTGACCTTTTCGCAGTAAATTATTAATTTTTGAAAAAATCTTTCAATTTTAGTATTGTTAGTATTTGATTTTATTCATTAGTTCAATGATGGATTTACCATTTAAAAAAGTGACTTTTCTCCTTTTTCCAAACCATAGTGTTTTATGCTTGTAATCAATAAAATATTTATAATGCCAGATATCTTGTTTTAAACTTAAAGAAAAAACCAATAAATTTTAAGAATGTCTTTTTTAAACATTTCAATTAAGAAGTTTGCATTCTTGTAATCAATAAAAAATCACTTAATAATAGATTACTGTTGAACTATAATGCATATAAAAAATTTAATGTTAATTGTTAATAAAAGCTTTTCTGTTGAGCTAACTTGAACTTTTCCTTTGTATCATGAAGTAAATATTACAGGTAACCCCGTATAACACAGAAGTTACGTTCCAAAAAATTGCCATGTTATGCGAATTTGTGTTATATGAAACAAAGAACTAATGCAAAAAGGGGGGGTTAGGTTCCAAAAATTAAAAAAACATGCTGTTAAATCCTTATTTAAATCGAATTTATTATTCATTTTTTCATAGGTAAAATACTTATTTATTATTTAAGTAAATATTTTACCAGAGGATTATTCATCCTATATGATGATCTCAGCATAAACATCATCAACTGGTAACAGTTTTTGGTGCGTTTGTTAATAGTGGTCGCTCTGCAATGGGAATGCGCTACTGTTTGTAGGCATTTAGGAACGACGGTGAAAAGATGGCAGCGCCCGCACTATCGATAGTATTGTGATGGAGGAATCTATAATTCTAAAAGGAGCTTTTAGAGGCAAAAGAAGGGTCCCAATTGTAAAATTTAACCATTAAATGGATTATTTGTTGAAAGAGCATTCAAAGTAGCCACGAAAACAATTTGAATGCTTGCGCAGAGTTACGCGGAGGTATAAAAGAACGCATCCTTTATTACATTTCATGTTGTACGAGGGTTTTAACCAATTCCCGAACCATGTTAGAGTGAACCCGTGCGATAAAAGCATCGTGTTATACGGAGGATGTTCCCAATTCTTGAACCGTGTTAGAGTGAATCCGTGCTATAGAAGTGCCGTGTTATACAGGGGATGGTACCAATTCTCGAACCGTGTTAGAGTGAATCCGTGCTATAGAAGTGCCGTGTTATACGAGGTTACCTGTACTTTGTTAGATAATAAAATTTTTATTAAGCAACAATCATATAGATGCATTTCCAGATGATGATAAATTAAAAAAAAATTAAATGATAATGTAGCAGTACAGCAGTCAAGCTGATGATTTGTTAATCACCTATAACTGATATACAGTGATGCCAGCTCTCTCCATTTCACCCACAAGTTCCTTTTGTTACATTTATTTTAATATTTATGTTTTTACTATTTATCTTTTGTCATTTTACAAGGTGGGAAAGAAAGTCACTTAACACCCTGTTACAGAATATAGAATGTACCCAANGGTTTTAACCAATTCCCGAACCATGTTAGAGTGAACCCGTGCGATAAAAGCATCGTGTTATACGGAGGATGTTCCCAATTCTTGAACCGTGTTAGAGTGAATCCGTGCTATAGAAGTGCCGTGTTATACGAGGTTACCTGTACTTTGTTAGATAATAAAATTTTTATTAAGCAACAATCATATAGATGCATTTCCAGATGATGATAAATTAAAAAAAAATTAAATGATAATGTAGCAGTACAGCAGTCAAGCTGATGATTTGTTAATCACCTATAACTGATATACAGTGATGCCAGCTCTCTCCATTTCACCCACAAGTTCCTTTTGTTACATTTATTTTAATATTTATGTTTTTCTTTTTATAATGAAAATCATATTTTAAATATTCCAGCAAATATAATTAAAAGTTTGTTGAAACACAACTATTATAATGCTGTAATGTAACTATTCAAAACTGTTGGCAACATTTTTCAACAGTGCACAATTTTGTCATCAAAAAGCTTCCCCAAAGGAAAACCTGACATTTATCCATATGTAAATTATTAAACTTTAACAAATTACATTGGACACACATGATTAACAAGTAAGCTGTTCTCTGTCCAAGACATATCCCACAATATAGTATTTAAATTTCAACTTTTGATGATAAAAAGTGTAATAAAAAATTATAATTAAATTTACCTTTAAAAAAGTTTTGTTTTACTTACATCATCACTAACATCCATATTTCTTTCATAACAAACACTATCTAAAGATTCACGAGAACCTCTGCGACTACTTTCTTTTGATGTAGGATGTCTTTTTTCCCTTTGAATAGCAGTCAGTTCTGTTCCTAGATATTGATTTGCTTTCACTTGCCTAACACCTTCAAGAGCCTAAAATGTATATTAAAATTTAGTTGAAAAATTCTAAAATTTAAAATTAAGGTTCCAATATTTAAATATTTAAAAAATTAATAATAAAATATTATAAACACAAATTATAGATACTAATAGAAATAAGACACTAATACTATTAGTAATCTGTATAAACTTATGAAAATCCATTCAAGACATTCATATATTATTTGAAGAATGCATGAATTTCAAACTATATTTCAATTACATTCTTGATTCTACGTGGTGCTTCATAAATTTAACTATATGATTAAAAATTTTAATCACCAGAAAAATTAATGTATTAATTGTATTAGTTAACATGACTAATAGAAACCCCCAGCAAAAAATATAATATGAATATAATTTTGGAATAATTATAAAAAAAATGAATAAGAAATGTTCAAATGTTTATGCATTTTTGTATTTAAAAAGGCAAATAATTTAAATATTAAGAGAAATCGAATCAATATAGAACTTTTTGGTTTTATAAACAATATATATATACATACATAGTGCCTCTACTAAAGTTTTATGATTAATTTTTTTAGTGCACTGGCTACACCTTGTATTGACCAACAATAGATTTTCTTACATGCATGTCTAGCCTTGTTATAGGTACAGTTTTGAAAAGATCAGTGAAGTCATTTTTNTACAAAGAACTGTGTGTTTTTTTTTACTATGATTATATTAAGTTAATGTCAATAGAACATTTTAACTGAATGGAAACTAAAATAAACCTTACTTCTCTTCTTGCTCTTAAAGCACAATCTTCTAATGTTTCAGCTGCTTCATATTTTCCTTGTCTCCTATTGTCTAGCCTTGTTATAGGTACAGTTTTGAAAAGATCAGTGAAGTCATTTTTGTGCCATGCATAGTTGGATGTGACTGAATGAAGAGCTCTTATCATAGATCAAGTACAGAACAATGAGTGGTAATAAAGTTCTGCTGTAAAGATGGTAAAACTGTGACACAAACAGTTGAACTGATAACTGCAGCCACTGTTGATGAAGCACTTTTCACAATCCAACATTTTCTGATGGCAAGCATGGTTTTGTCACAAACAAAAAAGACACTAAAATGATCCTAGTAGTTGTTCTAGTGAATGTCAAAATGAAGATTGAGTGGCAGTATTTCAGAACTGCTAATTGCAAATTGTCACTTGTTACAAAGAATGATAGCACTAGTAGTGGATATCAGCAAGGACAGTGTGCAGAAGATTGTTACAAACTATTTTAAGAAAAAAGTTTTGTGAAAAATTTTTTCCACACATTGATTGAAGTCAAGCAGTTTCTTGCCAAAAATCAAGTTATGATGCACCTCTTCTTATTTGCCAGATGTGGCTCCTGCTGATTCTTTTCTATTCCCTAAAGTACCAGTTAGAGGTGTTATTTCGACTTGATTTCTGACATCCAGGCAAATGTGAAAAGAGAACTAAATCTGTTCCAGTTGCCAAGTTCTAGAGTAGAATACAGAAATTTTATGACTATATAAAGTAATGCATAGACTTAGGAGATATGTATCTTGAAAGGTAAATACATACATAATGGAAATAACTTAATGTAGGTATTTTATATTAAATCAGTCCTAAAACATAGCTTTCTATGTATATTTTTTAAAGTAAATATAATACTTAACTGTTAATATTTAATAACAAACTTAGTTATGTTTATATATATCATACATATTTAACTTATTTATTTTTGATTGTTGTTGTTGTTATTTTTTTTTTAAATATAATAATTATAAAAAATATGCTTAGTTTTTGTTTTTAATAATAAGCAGTGATCTTTTTTCTGAAAAAAATTACAACTGTATGAATGATAAAAAAATATTTTTAAACATTATAACTAAATATTTTGAAGTACAGTCGATCCCCCTATAACACGGGTTCCTATATTTCGGATTCCTATATCATGGCGAAAAAATTGCGACAGTATTCGTACAAACATGCTAAAAAACTCGTATAATTTGGTAAAACATCATCGCTGACTCGTGTCACAACAGAATTGGTCAAATCTAGACCAATAGTGGATATTGTACAAACCGTTGAGTTTAAACGAGCAGTGGACCTACTAAAAATCATTTATTATTTAACGTCCATAAAAATTATATTTATATTAATGATGTCTCCAAAGTTCAGCGAAATTTTGCAAAAAAATAATTTATCAGGAAGCACGCAAGCACCATTCGATGACAAGCTCCACGACGAAAACAAGCTTAAGCAATGGCATCGTCAAATGGTGCACACTCGGTAAGTAATCCTACAATTTTTTGTTTATAGCATAGTTTATATGGATTATTCCCAAAAAATTATACATATTTTGGAAATGTTGAGTCGAATTAGTCTAGAATCGATTAATTTTATGGAAGAAACCTTTCAAACAGTTGTAGTCCGTAAACTGCATACGTGCCGGGCTGTGATTGGCTGGACTCATAGAAAATGGATTCATAAAAACCCGAATGTATCTACCGTGTTATGGGGGGGGTCGACTGTATATTATTGTTACTTGAAATAGCATAGATATGTAATCAGCAATCAAAATTAACCTTAGAACTGCTTTAGTGTCATAAATGATCAAAATTTTAATTAACAAAGTTATCATCAGACATCAGTTGAAAAACTACCAACAAGTCATGATAAAAAAACATATATATTTGTTTATAATTCCTAAAATCTCTATGTGCATGTGCATATGCACACACACCCAAGATTAATATTACTTACTGTACACATTTCAAATTAAAATTTTTCTAAAGTAGAATGCTAGAAATTCTAAGAGAGGTTGTTATAGTTCTCACAATTATACTGTGCTAATAACCAGTATGTCAAACCAAAACCGATAAAGTTTTACAATATCAATATTTAGAATATTGATATTGTAAACATTTATAAGTTTGGTTTGATATATCAGTTTTGATCCCTTCAGAATTTTTAACATTGGTACTATTTTCTAACAGCTGGAGAAATTATGTTGAAAAGAAGTATAGTTGATGATTATTATAATTAACAAATATAGAATTACTGATATTTGTCATTGACACAAATACTGGTATTCAACATTGTCAATAAAAGTCAATATTTTATCAGTTTCAGTATTTATCTAGAATATTGAGAGATTTTTCAGTATTTATCAAATCAATACATTGAATGAATCTTGGTATCAAGCCCAATATTGGTATCAAAAGTTTGGTTTAGCACAGCCATAGTGATGGGATGGGCAAAGTGAGAAGAATGTGTGCACTAACATGCAAACTTAAAATATTTATTTACAAAGAACTGTGTGTTTTTTTTTACTATGATTATATTAAGTTAATGTCAATAGAACATTTTAACTGAATGGAAACTAAAATAAACCTTACTTCTCTTCTTGCTCTTAAAGCACAATCTTCTAATGTTTCAGCTGCTTCATATTTTCCTTGTCTCCTATATAATGCACCAAGATTCTTCAAAGTAGTTGCTACTGTGGGACTATATAAAAATTTTATATTATCTCTTAAAAACTGTTTTACTTTTAACTCAAATATTTAAATTACCTATCAACTTTAGCAGCTTTATGCCATCCACCATATTCACCATAAGGAGCATTTTCTTTATGTTTGTTTTTATTTTCTTCTCTTTCTTCTGCTACTTGCCATATTGGTTTGTTTTCATGCATAGTTGGATGTGACTGAATGAAGAGCTCTTATCATAGATCAAGTACAGAACAATGAGTAGTAATAAAGTTCTGCTGTAAAGATGGTAAAACTGTGACACAAACAGTTGAACTGATAACTGCAGCCNTAAAAAATGTCACAGACTTTCAAATGTACGTGATTCTTTCAACACATCTCAAATAAACCAAAATGACTCATCTCAAGATTATAGAAATACTCTAAATTATCTGAATAAAAAAGATCTCTACATTCTGTATAACTTTTTCATTTAAATTACAAAAATGTTGTATATCTATACCAGTATACTAAATATTACAAACTTTGTATAACTTGACTATTATTGTATAATAAATAATATATTACTATGATTATCAAATTGTTCAATACTAATATTCTATTTATTGTGTAAATAATATAAAATTATAATACCACTTTGTATAACCCCTACAACAGGGACAATTCCCTTTTTGCTAATAAAGATTATTATTATTATTATTTTCTCAATAATTTACATTTATATTTAAAAATTTCAGAATTCAAACAGTTTTATAATTTTAAACAATTATTTTTTTTTTTTTTTGATGTTTTCAATACAATAAAATGTAAATACCAGATGGTCAAATGAAAAATTTACTTGCAAACAATACTTTGGACCAACTTTGCTTATTACTATCTTGCTATTTAACACAAGAAACACTTAAATCTTAAACAGTATTTACTACAGACTTGAGAGCTAACATTTGAAGTATCTTGCATTAAGTCTATTCTCTCAAGTAAACTTTCTTGACCACCCTACATAATTATTATTTTAATATGATAAATGATTATGAATTTAAAAAAAAATGAATATTTTATTTTATAAGAGAATTTTATGATATAAAATCCTAATTAAATTCAAACTTTTTTAATTAATAATTTTCAAAACTTTAGGTTGTTTTGGGGGTAATATTCATGCTTAAAACTTTAATAATTTTAATAACATCTAGAGAAAAAATTGATTTGTAATGGGATTTGAATTCTTCAACTTCCAAAAACTGGTTAAGTATATTAATAATTATGCCATCTAAGCACTAATAGCAATGTTTCTTCTAAACATGTATAATTTTGAAGCACATTATTACCATATGAATTAAACTTTTACACTGACTAAAGGCAGCAAAGTGGCCATGAATATTTAATGGCATTCAGTTAGCCATAATTTAAAAAACCAGCATAATGTGCATGATAGATGTACACATGTATGTACATACATATCCTTATATAAATACAAACCTAAATTATTACTAACAAATCAATTCAATAAATTCGTAACAATTAAAAACTAATTCAATCAAACTAAAATTAAGACCAGAACCATCATAACTAAAATTACAAATGAAATCTTTAAAAATAAGATTTGGCTTATATAAAGAAATTAAGATCATTCAGAACATACTTGACAAGAGCAGAAACAAGAAAAAATTTCAAAATAAAATCCACAGAAGACCAGAAGTTCACAAAATTAGTTCATAATCATCAAAACAACAAAACTTAAATACATTGACAACACAATTAGAAATATATTTTGTTGGTACTCTTGTAATACATATACCTAACATCTTTTTTTAGACATTACAAGAAAAAAAAATTACTTTCTCCACTTTTTAAAAAAACATTTCACTCACTAATTTTTGTTAAAATTAAACATCATGAATAATAAAATTATATCTCAAGAAATGAAATAANTCTCAAGTAAACTTTCTTGACCACCCTACATAATTATTATTTTAATATGATAAATGATTATGAATTTAAAAAAAAATGAATATTTTATTTTATAAGAGAATTTTATGATATAAAATCCTAATTAAATTCAAACTTTTTTAATTAATAATTTTCAAAACTTTAGGTTGTTTTGGGGGTAATATTCATGCTTAAAACTTTAATAATTTTAATAACATCTAGAGAAAAAATTGATTTGTAATGGGATTTGAATTCTTCAACTTCCAAAAACTGGTTAAGTATATTAATAATTATGCCATCTAAGCACTAATAGCAATGTTTCTTCTAAACATGTATAATTTTGAAGCACATTATTACCATATGAATTAAACTTTTACACTGACTAAAGGCAGCAAAGTGGCCATGAATATTTAATGGCATTCAGTTAGCCATAATTTAAAAAACCAGCATAATGTGCATGATAGATGTACACATGTATGTACATACATATCCTTATATAAATACAAACCTAAATTATTACTAACAAATCAATTCAATAAATTCGTAACAATTAAAAACTAATTCAATCAAACTAAAATTAAGACCAGAACCATCATAACTAAAATTACAAATGAAATCTTTAAAAATAAGATTTGGCTTATATAAAGAAATTAAGATCATTCAGAACATACTTGACAAGAGCAGAAACAAGAAAAAATTTCAAAATAAAATCCACAGAAGACCAGAAGTTCACAAAATTAGTTCATAATCATCAAAACAACAAAACTTAAATACATTGACAACACAATTAGAAATATATTTTGTTGGTACTCTTGTAATACATATACCTAACATCTTTTTTTAGACATTACAAGAAAAAAAAATTACTTTCTCCACTTTTTAAAAAAACATTTCACTCACTAATTTTTGTTAAAATTAAACATCATGAATAATAAAATTATATCTCAAGAAATGAAATAATTAACTGAAATAGATCAGAAATTACCACCAAAAATTTTTTTAACATTTCAAAATTCCTTTCAAAGAAAAAAGTTTAAAGGATATAAAATTTTTTGTTATACAAAACAAATGAAGCATTTGTTTTGTATAACAATTCTGAGATTAGGACAACAATTGGAATGTTACACAATTTCCATTAAAAGAATATTTGTTGTTATGTATGAGATTATTTTGTGTAGAAGAAAAAATAGTTTGTGTAAATTAGAACCAAGAAATAAGTGAAAATATTGCTGATTAAACAAGCATAATACTAGTAAACATTGTAATGCAATTTTATAATAATAATAAATAATAATAATAATAATAATAATAATAATAATAATCTCTCTTCTCATTCCTCTTTTCAGCTTTATTTGGCAAATGTTTGGGAGTTGATTAACAACAAATTCTAGAAAGTACTGTACAAGCTGATTCAATAATTTATATTTTGTAGGTATCAGAAAACTGATTTATAAAGAATGTTCAAATAAAAGTGAGAATCAGGTTATAAAACAATAATAAATGTATTTATTCAAAAGAAGTCTCCATGAGCATTGAGACATTTATTCCAACAAGTTGACAAATAACATCTTTAAAGAATACTGGGAAAACCAGGTTTTCACTGCTTCTTAAATTAGACCTCACTGTCCAATGTACATCAATTTCCCTTGAGATTTTTTTAAGAGGTCCAAAAATGTGGAAGTCACAGGAACTAAGATGGGGCTGTAGGCAGAATGTCTTAACACTTCCCATCCAAAATGGTGCAATGTGTTGTCTCCATGGTCATAGAAAACAGAGCAGGTCATCAGTGAAGAGAAGATTATATTCATCTGTTTTTCAATTACTGGAGTCCTTTACTCCTGGAATAGTTATCTCATGGTAAAACCACAACACTGTCAGATACAGTAAATCTTGCAGAAATTGCACTGTGCTATGAAGTCTAAGCACCATGGCAATCTCATCTGGTATGGTTTTGCAGTATGACAATACATGACAGCTTATCATCCACTCTTTCACAGACATCACACCATTTTGGATGGAAAGGGTTAATATAAAATAAAATAACCAAACACCTTAGTATTTCCAACAACAAAGTATTTAATAAAATAAAAACGTTTTTGACTATTTTTTAATAGTCTTCTTTAGTTAAAACACTTCAAAACAAAAAAGAATATAAAATAGAATGCAAGCAATACAACGGTTTAAAAATTTGAAAATAATTACAACAAAATAAAAATAAAATAAAACATAAAAACAAAATTAAATTAAAATAAAGTATTAAGAAAAAATTAATCGTCGTGGTAAAAAGATTTCCATGCAGAGGATAGACTTTCTGCATCTCTATGATTGATGCATCCTTTGTCAATATGGGCCTTGTAAATTTCAAGTTTTTCAATATGTTTAAGTACTTGTTTGTTGGTGGCAATCCTAATTATGGATGCTTTGTCCCAATAAACATTAATATCCTGATGTTTAGTGAAGGCTGCAAGGACGGTATGGTCCAAGTTTTTAGTAATGGAATATTTATGCTCTTTAAGCCTCTGTTTTAAAAGTCTCATAGTGGC